AGAAAAAAGGATAGAGGTGGAACCCTAGAGAAATCAAAAGACTCAAGAGTAGAATTCAATAAGCAGCAGCTATTTCAGGAATGGGGGATGCGTCTCAGAGACTATACCCCTATGCTGAGCCCTGTCTCTCTTCCCAGCTTGGAGGGTGGCGAATTTCTGGTAGTTGGACTTCCTTGGACTTTAACCGAACTCTGAGACTTCTGATGAGTCAGTATGATCACTTCCCATTCTTCAGAGCTGATCTGCAACCTCATCCCACCCCTCCACACTTGCCAGTAATCCAGGTGAGGGATGCACTGGCAAAAATACCGTGAGAACTGGGCCTGCTTTGAATTCTAGATTATCATCTCTTAGAAAGAGGTTGAAAGTTGGGTAAATAGGACAAATACATAATGTAGAGAAGAGATCTACCTTTAGGGAAAATTATTGATGTGAGAGTCAGGGACACTAGGTGAGATTAGGGAAGGGAGCAGGGCCAGTTCTGGGAAGACAGATGTAGTTCTGTTGTTCCATTTTACTGCTTATCTAGATTACCTCAAGAACCTCTTAACTAATCCCTTATCTCCAGTATTGCCCTCCTCTTATTTACTCTTCATTTTTGCCAGAAGGACCTTTCTAAACCAAGAGCTAATTATGTTATCGTCTCTGTTTAAATGCCTTCAGTGCTTCACCAGGTCATCACAATGCAGTTCCTAATTCTTAGCAAAGCCTTGCAAGTCCTTTTGCATTTGACCCCTACACACTTCTCCAGCTTTATCTCCCCCTTCCACCGCAAGCCATGTTCACTCACTGATAGCTCGTACAATATTCCTCAGTTCTTTGCATATATGACTCCCTTTGACTACAGCATTACTCCCCAAACCCCCACACTGAGCCTGGAAAACTTACATATTTTTCAAAGTTTGGCTTTGCTTATAATATCTCCCAGGAAATCTTCACTGACACCCTGGCTATGAGTTACGTAAACTGTTCTGTGCTCCCATTTTTCCACGCTCTCAGTGTTTAACACCATGTTGAAGACTGTGAATCTCTTAAGAACAGGACCACACCTTATTCACCTTTGTTCCTCAGGATCTAGCACAGGGCCAGGCATCCAGAGGCCCACATGAGGTGTTTGTTGAATGAGTAAATAAATAAAAACACAGGAGGCATCAGTATTGCGGTAGGCAATGCAATGCTATAAATTTGGCCCCTACTCTCAAAAATCCCACAAAATTACAAAAGGATGAATATACAAGAAGAACTATAATAAGTATGAGACATTCTAAACTTCAGCTCTAAAGGATGTACACAGGAGTTTAACTGATATGGCCTTTACAGATTGGTTAAGAGCTGAAATGATTAAGGAATGACTCAGAGAGGGGAGGATGTGAGCTGAGCCTTGAAGCATGGTGGTTGTGAATCAACCACCTCTGTGGGGTCAGTGAGGAGGTGGGTCTGTTGAACAGAGGATTTAGGTATAACAGTGTAGTGCAGTGGGAGGTAAAAGTAAAACTGAGGACATGAAGTTGGGCCTGATTATTCCAGGCCTAAAACATCAGACAAAGGTGATAACTTTTAGCATAATAGAAAAAAAAAAAGAGCTACCAAGCCCTTGCAAATACGATGGTCATAATTTGAGCTTAAATAGAGTCACTGATTTGGGAGGTCAACCTGGAGATGTTGAGGAATCTAGATGAGCAATTTTGAGGTTCTGAACTAAGATGATTGTGGTAGAAATGGAAAGGAAAGGCCAGGCATGCGCATGTAGGCAACTTCATCCTAGTGGTAGTGGTCCATGGCGAGGACTTGATGACTGATTAAACATAAACAAAGGAGATGGAGGAATTGGAAAATGACGCCTCAGTTTTGATTTGGTGTGAAGAGGAGAAAGGTAGTTTCCATTAATTTGAGACTGGATGGACTCTACGGGGAAGAATAAGTAGAGAGAATGGACTACAGAGAGAGCACCCCAGTGAGGGGTGTGGGAGCAGAGAAGAGTAAGAACAGGTAGGGAGGTGGGAGTCAGACCAGTGCAGGTGACCCACAAAGACAAGGAGGAGCCAATTTAAGGAGGGAGGAGTCATCATTGATTCCAGAGATTTCCAAGCTCAGAAAATAAGGAATGAGAATTCAACATTGGAAACCTTCTAGAAGACAGTATCAAAACAGTTATAAAAATGGGCACAGATTGTACAGAGTTTAGGAGGAAGGTAAGGAAGTTGAAGCAGAGGCATAGATAACTTTCAGTTCTTTAAAGTTTGGACATAAAATGTGACAAAGGAAGCAAGTGAAAGTTTTTTCAAGATAGGGGAAAAGTATACAGCTCAAGGTGGGTGTGGGATATTATAGTTGGAGAAGAAAAAAGAAAAGCGTAAGAGCAAAGATCTTCAGAATAGAATCAAGGACACAACAGTGCCAGAACTAAAGTGAGGAAAGGAAGGTGAGTGAGCTACCTGCCTAGGGTGCAAAATTTAAGAGGGTACCCAAAACTCAGTAATCAAGCTAAATAATGCAAAATAATAAATGCAAATGAATAAATAAATGCAAAAATCCATGATGAACAAAATATCAAGTTTTTATTCATTGTAGATTTTTTGAAAAAATAACGTTTTTTCCAAAATGTATTAAAAATACACTATGCATAAAAAAGAATGAAATCTTGCCATTTGTGAGAACATGGATGAACCTAGAGCGTGTTATGTAAAGTGAAATAAATTGAACAGAGAAAGACAAATACTGTATGATTTCACTTATGTGTGGAACCTAAAAAACAAAGCCAGAAAAACAAAACAAAACAGAAACAAATTCACAGATACAAAGAACAAACTGGGTCCCCAGAGGGGAGAGGATGGGAGATGGGCAAAATGGATGGAGGGGGTTAAGAAGTACAAACTTGCAGTTATAAAATAAATAACGCACGAGGATGTAAGGTAGAGCATGGGGAATATAGTCAATAGTGTAATAACTTTGTACCGTGACAGATAGTTGTTAGATTTGTCAGGGTGCTCATTTCGTAATGTGTATAAATGTCAAATCACTATGTTGCACACCTGAAACTAATACAATACTGGATGTCAACTATACTTCCAGTTAAAAAAATACATTGTGGGTTGTCAGAAGAAAATCCACGATGAGCCAAGTTTTGCTATTTTATTCTACATGGATTTTTAGCATTCATTTTGATTTTAAAAAATATCAAGTAAGGTATTATTTATATTGATTACTGAGTTTTTAGTACCTCTTGAATTTTGCACTTGAGATGGATATCTCACTCCGCTAACCCTAGACCTGGCCCTAGAACAGGGAATGGTTCCCCTCAGGACATGGGCTATTATGCCTCTCTACCACTGAGCACCCCAAAACTGGCTGAAATACCCACCATCTCTCCACATTTCCATGTCTGGACTCTCCCCCACACCCCTTACCCGCCCCCACCATCCCTCCCTCTCTTTGTACTCTCGCTCCTTCTCTAGTTCCTTTTTATACCTTCTCCTAAGGCCATCTTCCATGGTATACTCTCCATCTCCCTACATCTGCCATCTCCTTCCTCCACACTCCCCACTTCTCTCCAGTCTCTCTTGTGTCCAGATATACCAGCCAGAGTTTGACCTTCCTGTCAAGCAAGAGCAGGAACAGAAGAACTATGCTCAGGTAAGATGGCACTGTGGACAAAGGTCCTGACCTCTGATTCTAGGAGAAAGGTAGGGGCTGCTGGTGGCTGTGACTGACATTGTCCCTCCCCTAGATCGTGCGGGAATACCTGACTTACCTGAATCAGCTGGGAACCTTGCTGGGAGGAGACGCAAGAAAGGTGCAAGAACATGCTGCCATGTCCATCTCCATTACCTCGCAGCTGCTTCAATTCCTGAGACCCCCGGAACAGCGACGGGCACAGGGAAAGCTCTTCCAGATGGTCACTATTGATCAACTGCAGGTGCCTTAAACCAGGGACTGGAGGAGGATGAGCATGGGATTCTCCCTCCCAAACTTTCTTGACCTCCTTGTATTCTTTCTGCTCATTCCCTAATTCCTTGCCATCCATAAGTTTTCTGGCTCCATTCTTTCCCCATCCTCCCTCCTCCCCAGACCTTCTCAAACCCTGAAGGAGGGGAAGCCCGCTCTCCTGCCTCCAGTCCTCCTTCTTGGCTCCCTTCAGCCTTTGTATCTCTTCTCTAAGGAAATGGCCCCTGCCATTGACTGGTTGTCCTGCTTGCAAGCGATATTCACATCGATGTCCCTGAGCCCCTCCCAGCCCCTTGTGGTCCATGACCTGGAGTATTTGAAAAACATGTCATACCTGGTGGAAGAACAGCTGTCAAAGCACAGGTTTGCCCCAGGTGGGATTGGGGAAGTATGAGGGCAATGGAGAGACAATTTGAAGGCCCAGCAGTCTTACGAACAGAGGAGACTTTGGAGAATGCAGACTGGCAAAAGCTATGCAGGAAAATGGGAAGGACCCAGGTATATGTAGGGGCAGAGAAGGGGTTAGTTGGAGGGCCCAAGAGGGAATGGAGGAAACAGGAGGTATGAGAGGCTTGGGGGCATGGGAAATGGAAAACACACACGAAATGAGGGACATAGGTCCCAGTGAGACACGGGGTTTGCTGAGGATAGAACGAAGCCTGTGAAGAGCCTCTGAGCTGTAGGAGATGCTGGAAAGCTAGTCACTGGGGACAACTCCAGCATATATGTCTTGTCAGCAGCTGAGGGATGTAGGAGGGAAGAGGAGGCATATGAGATGGGTGGGTAGAGGAGGTGAAAGCTAGGGGTGCTCTTGGGGGACAAACTGAGGGAAAGCCTATTTCAGGTGTGGTGAGATCATTCTGGGGCCCTTGTGGGAAAGGTCTGGAAGCTGGGGACTGTGGGGGACATTAGAATGAGACTCTGTGTTGGGATCTCTGCCATCCTTGATACCTGTGTGGCCACCCCCTGAAGACGGTGGCTTCCTTCCAGGGGCTTGGGCTCAAGGCACTTTTTCACGGTAACTCAGTGACAGCAACACCTAGAAATTCTTTTTGAGGGAAGCAAACCACCATTCATTCCAGTGTGAGCAGGTTTATGTAAGGGTAAAAATCACACCTGGTGAGAGAGTTACCTTCAGGGCAAAGAAAGTCTTGGATTCCAGCTTTGTTGTGCTTAGAAAACACATTTTAAGATGAGCTGAGATTTCTTGATTGTGAAAGTAGATGAATCTGTTTTGTTTAATCTTTTAAGTCCAGTCTTCATCTAGTTCCTTCTATCATTCTCCAACCCACACCAAGAAAAGCTCTTCTTGACTTGTTCCCATGTCAGACAGTGATTTTCTATAAATACAGAGGAAAAGGTGCTTCCCCTGAGTATCAAGGTGGCTTATACAAGGAGAGGCTTTTCTTGAGGGATCCCCAGAGCCCTGGAGTATATGTGTGGGTCTCTTCTCTCCACAGGGACTTTCTGCAGAGCCACATGATCTTGGGGCTGGTGGGGTCCCTTTCTCCAGTCTTGGACAGTAAATTCCAGGAGGCGCATACTTTGCTGAACCAGAAACTACGGGAGCTGACAGAACGACCACCCTTGGTGAGCAGAGGAGGGGATGAATTCCTGTCTGAATGGGGGCTAGAAGAGTATCTGCCATTTTGAGGAATAAATATTAGCATATGTCTCGCAGGGAGGAAGCATGAAGGCAGATGCCCCTCACTGTGTGGGCTTTCCATGGAAGCAGACAGGTTGGGCATACAATACTTACGTTGAGAATTGAGGTGCCAGGTACTAGACCTTTAGGCTCACATCTGGCTACCTCTGTGGCCTTTTGCTGAGTATTAAAGTTTAAATATAAAACTCTAAAATTATCAAGAACTGCTTTTCTTTTGTCATGACCCCTCAACTATTTGCCTAGTTATCCTAAGCTCTGTGATCTGAGGACCTGGACCTAAAGCTTAGGATTCACTGAGATGAGACACAAGTGTTGCAAGTAATGGCCTGCCCTCTGTCTAGGTGATTCCAATGTTTGATGTCCAAATTTCCTTCACAAAGAGCTCATCTCTGAAAACCAGTGAGATCCGTTGGGCCACACTGTGGGCTTCGTGGTGCAGATCCTGCTATGTCTGAGGACAGGGCTATGTAGCAAATGCACTTAATTCACCAAAGCCTACTGTGTTACAGAAGATGTGGAGACACTCCTTTACTGAGGATTTTGAAATTCTAGGCTGGACACATCCAAATACATGTGGAGGCATCTGGAAGCTAGTTATGACCCAATCTCAATGAAGGCCTCAGTGTAGTCTTGAAAAATCACTGTTTTTTGTTTTGTTTTGTTTTCATAATTTGTGGGCCATTTCTCTGCCTTGGAGAAACTCACTGCTTTGGCAACCTGAAACATCTGTGGAATTCAAAGAGGGGAAATGTATGCACAGGGACTGGAATGTAGTTATTGCTTACTAAGACTTTATAACGTACTAGACATTTTTCTAAGCCCTTTTGATATATGAGCTGACTTAATCCTCACAACAAATTCCATGAGGCAGGCACACCATTTTGTCCTTGTTTAATAGATGGGGAGATCGAGGTAAAAAAGTGAAGGAACTTGCTCAAGGTAGTATAACTAGTGAGTTGATAGAGCTAGGATTAGAACTCCAGCAGTCTGGCTCCAGGGTCTGTGTGCTTAATCCTTTTGGGGTGGGGGCAAAGGGGACGCACTCATCCTTAGGACTTTCACTCAGAGGAGCTAATCCCCAACAAGCTTTTGTCCATCCTTCCTCTTGACTCCAGTGAAGCAGAACAGAGCCCCAAATCCTACTAGTTGGGATTGCGACAAAATTTTCTTGGTTGCTACAAAATCCCCGGCAACAACCAACTTCCTGTAAATCCCAGAACCACGGCGTGATGGTGCTTCTTGAAGACTGTAAGAGCGCTAACGTTAAAACTCACACTTAAAGAACTTAGAAGGCTAAAAATTGCTAGTCACCATGCTTTATATACTTACATATATCCTTTATATATATTATATACATCCTTATATATCTATTAGGATGTATAATTGTCCTTGGGCTTAAAAGCTGAATCAAGCTCTACCAACAAATAGTTGTGTGGCTTTGGGGAAGCCACTTGACCTTTCTGGAACAACAGTACCAAATATGACACATAATAATAATAGCTGTTATACATTGAGTACTCTATGTCAGGCATTGCAGGGAACAGCTAGCATGAAAGATTTTATTTCATCCTCCCAGAAACACTCTGAGGTCCTCGGAAAAGGCAAGTAACTTTTCTAAGACCACACAATTCGTAAGTGAAAGAATAGACTCCAAAACATATCTGTGTGGCTCATGAGGCCATGTTTTTAACCACCTACTGTGCAGGATTGAGAAATAAGTGGGTGGTACAGACAATGAGCTGGCAAATTCTTTCTATAAAGGTCAAGATAATAAATATTTTTATCTTTGTGTTCCATACAGTCTGTGCTGCAACTACTCAACTCTGTCCTTGTAACACAAAAGCAGCTGTACGCTAAGTAAATGAAAGGGTGTAGCTGCGTTCCAAGAGAACTCTGGTTTAGACAATAGATGCTCTTGGAGTTCCTAAGAGGGAGAGATCAGGGTGAGTTTGAATAACCAGTGAGACCTCTGTACGGGAGGTAGGATGGAAGCAAAATCTAGAGAGTTGAAGGGATTTTCTGGCAAAGAAAGGGATATCATTTCATTGGGAAAAGGCCTAGAGCAGGCTGGGTAAAACTTAGTGCAATATGAAGAATCCGCCTAGTAGCTGAGAAGACATGATTAGGTTTGCATAGAAGGCTGTGTCTGTCGCTTCTGGAGTATGCCCCAGGTGTTAGGAATCAGCAAGAAAGCCAGTGCAACTGGAAGAGAGAAAGCAAATAGGATAACAGTAAGGAAAAAATCAGAGAAAGGAGGAGGGGACCATGCAGGGCCTGGGAGGGCACTGTAAGGACTTTGGCTTTTCTTTCCTTGAAATAGGGGCTCGTAGGACTTATCTATTTTATGTTTTAAAAGAATATATTTTGAAGGTAAGCAATCGGATTTCTGACAGATGTGTGGTGTGAGAGGGAGAGTGGAGTCAAAAACATTACCAAGATTTTGGCCTTGATTAGACCAAAATTTATGGTTCTATCCAATGTGTATCAATTACAGATTTCTAACCATATTCTTCTGGGTGAATTCTACTTTATAGTGCCCTTATTCAGAAAGGCTGCTAGGTCTCATTATCTGACCATATTTTTAAAATTAATTTGAATATATAGTCAATGAAAATAGCTGGTAAGACAGATCTTTCTCTTATTAAACTTGAGAAGCTGAGTTTTAGGCAGTAAAAGCAGGACTTCACATTGTGCTGGTTAGATGTGACATATTTATATGTATTGAGCCCAACATCTCAATTTATTTGGATAATTTTAACGTTTATTTCAATCATCCATTATACTACCTTTCCTTTTCTACCTGGGGTCACTTGGAGTTTTATTTAGTGTATCTTCATCTAGAGCATTGTTAAGATGCTGAAGAAGGAAGAGCATCAGGTCAGGTTATTGAAGACCTAGCTATAGATTCATCCATTCATTTATGCAACACACATTTATTGAGCAACTATTGTATGTCAGACACTTCTCTAGGCTCAGTGAATGAAACAAACAAAAATCTCTGCCCTCAGACTGCTTATGTTCTGTGGAGGAAGAAAGACAATAGACTAAATAAATACAGTATGTTAGGTGGTGATAAGAGTTGTGGAGAAACAAAACAGGAAAGAGAGAGAGCGTGTGCTCGGTGGGGAGGGAGTGTGTTACAATTTTCAGTAAGATGGTCAGGGAAGCTCATACTAACTTGGCGCCTTTAATCTTTGATGTTTCTTTATGCTTCAGTCAGCTGAGAATCTACTCAAATTACTCCATCGCCTGACATAGATTTCCCTATCTAATTCACAAGGACTTAATTTGTGGTTTTATCAAATGCCTTCTTGAAATCAAAATAATGCCAACAGAGTGGGGTAGCACTTTAGAATTTACAGAGTACTTTCTGTGTATTTCTTCACCTGATCTTCCAAGCAACTGCGTGAGGAAGTTGGAACAGGCCTTAGTCTCGTTTTGTGGCTCATGTAACTGAAGGACAGGTGCTTAAGTTAATAATCCACGTGTCGCAAATGCTGAATTCTCTGTTCAGAGGTAATATTGAGGTGGTCCTTGAGGATGAGTCTGGCCTATGGATGTGTTTTGTTGGTTTTTAAAGCCTTTAGCAACTTTTAATTAGTCACCAACATTCAAGCTTTAGGAGATGGCATGCCGATAGTCAGATGTGAGCCTTGTGCAGCACCGGGCCAGCCTTCTCCAGGGCAGCAATTGACTGGAGCTAAGTGATGCAGCTGGGTTCAGACAGGGTGCATGCTCTCATTTGTCATGGCCTCTTCAGGTCCTGTGGTTCAGATAATGGACTCCTTCTCTCAGTTAGGCTACCTCATGGCCCCCATTGTAGTTTGTGACTCCTGGTCTATGGTATGTCTTAGTGTGGTAAACCATTTAACCAGAGAAATTATTATTTTGGCATTATTTGTGCTCAGTGATCCTACACTGGCCCTTAGCAGTTACACATTATTCTCCAAGTGTTCAAATACAATTGGTTTAATGATTCATTCTAGAATTTTGCTTAGAAATTAGCATTAAGGATTCCCGGCTGGCCTGTAATCTCTAAAATCTGATTTCCTCCTACTGAAAATTGGATAAACTTTTGCTTCTATCCAGACTCTTAGGATTTTCCCTGACTTCTATCATTTCTCATATATTATTCATGGTTCTAAGGTTATATCTTCAACTTTTTTTCTGTGTCCTAAAATTAATGTACTGAGCCTCATTATCTTGGGTTTGAAGCATTTCTTCCATCCTCTATATTTTGGTGATGATTTTTTCCCCTCCCTCTATTTCTCTCTTTCTTTCTCTGTTTTCAGTATGTATGGTATACTCTATTATTCTGTGTCTTGAGAGACAGCACAGATACTCACAACTCCCAGCAGATGAATATATAACCTGTCAACCTCCACCCCTGAGGCCTACATTTATTTATAGATTCTGGAAATTACTTTCCTGCTCACAGCATATGTGACCCAGCACAACTGTGACCAAAAAAATCCCAGAATTGCACAGGGGTGAGTAATGGGTAATCTGAGGTGTCATCTATGCTCTCCAGTAACCAGTTCAGGGCCTGCCACGGACCAGATTATGGGGACAGGCACAGAAAGGCTGTTGGAGAAATGGGCAGGCACCAACAAAAGGAATCAGGAAACAACTCAAGAACCAGGAGGTATGGAAAGGGAAGGCAGATCCATGCTA